AGGAAGTGTGTTGCCCGTTGCTCCGTTGACCTCGAAACTTCTCGTGCTCTCAAAGGGGGGCATTGCATGACACGTGCCAGGACATGGCATTTTGAGCCCGCCTGCAATATTGAGACATTTACTGCATCCATAGGGTTTCAATGCGGGAAATTGCAGATCTGCACGGCGGCCACCTGAAATGATGTCCAGAGGTGGTTTGTCAAATCATATATGATGTCTTTGCGGTATGTGTAAGCCTAGTGCAACCCAAGGAGGGGCATGCCCCACCACAGGGAGGCGAATGTACCTTGGCGGCATGCCGGATCCAGCCGTTAAAATCAAACAAAAATCACATGATGCTGGAAATACTTGGGACCTGGCACAGTGTCGTCATATGGTCCTTGTAGGGTGTGGTGAAATTTTGAGCACGTTTCGCAGAAGCCTGGCTGGAGGTCGCTTGTAAACTACACCATCTCCGGGGTAGTATTTGGCTATCAAGAGAGAACGTGTCCGGTTTGTGAAGGAAGTGTGTTGCCCGTTGTTCTGCTGACCTCAAAAGTTCTCGTGCTCTCAGAGGGGGCCATTGCATGACATGTGCCAGGATATGGCATTTTTCGGGCCCGCTTGCAATATTTGAGACATTTAGTGCACCCATAGGGTTTTAATGCAAGAAATTGGAGATATGCATGGCACCACACCCACGAGCTGCGTATTGCCTCTTCGGAGCCCTGCACTAGGTGTTTGAAGTTGCCACCACACTTCGTGGCATGTAAGAGGACCCATCACAAGATTTGGTGGCATAGCTAGCCCCCGAAGGCCACCGACCACACTTGTAGACACGCGAAGAACAATCCGTACATATGCAGATGTATCTATGGTCTATGTGGCATGCCAGCGGGGCCAGGGCCCACTGTCAGCCAATGTCACATTGTAGATACGCAGAGAAGCCCTTTGACCAATGGACTTCTCCACCTCGTTGTGATGGGTTCAGCCCATGTGAAGTCTCTAGAACAAGGTCCGGGCCCTACCCGCCACAAGATTCCCTCTACGTCAACCCGACGCAGACGTTTCCCCCCTCCAAGTGTCGGCGGTAGCTCCATCCGTGAAGGGGGTCACACTTCGGAGCCCAGCGTTAGGTGTTTGAAGTTGCCACCACACTTTATGGCATGTAAGAGGACCCATCACAAGATTTGGTGGCATAGCTAGCCCCCGAAGGCCACCGACCACACTCGTAGACACGCGAAGAACGAACCGTACATATGCAGATGTATCTATGGCCTATGTGGCATGCCAGCGTGGCCAGGGCCCACTGTCAGCCAATGTCACATTGTAGATATGCAGAGAAGCCCTTTGACCAATGGACTTCTCCACCTCGTTGTGATGGGGTCAGCCTATGTAAGACTCCAGAACAAGGTCTGGGCCCTACCCACCACAAGATTCCCTCTACGTCAACCCGACGCAGACGTTTCCCCCCTCCAAGTGTCGGCGGTAGCGCCGTCCGTGAAGGGGGTCACACTTCGGAGCCCGCGCTAGGTGTTTGAAGTTGCCACCATACTTTGTGGCATGTAAGAGGACCCATCACAAGATTTGGTGGCATAGCTAGCCCCAAAGGCCACCGACCACACTCGTAGACACGCGAAGAACCATCCGTACATATGCAGATGTATCTATGGCCTATGTGGCATGCCAGCGTGGCCAGGGCCCACTGTCAGCCAATGTCACATTGCAGATATGCAGATAAGCCCTTGCATTTTTTATTTATGTTATATATAAACGCCTAAAATAAAATTAAAGAAAAATAGATGGTGGGGTTTCGAACCTGTGGACTGTGTAAGGGAAGGTGGACAACCACAAGAGGGATGATGATTCATGTTTAAGTAACATGACTAATTTGTATATCATATAATATGGACCGAAAAGTATTTTTTTAACTGTCACACAAAAACGGGAGCATCGTGCCTCGACCATGTGACCTTGTGGTCAGCATTAACTAAGATTACCACTAGGCTACAACAACACAACATGTCTAGATGGGATAAACATTTTTCATGTTGCTATTCCTTCTTGTTCTATGTAAGAAAATAAATTATATTCTTGTGTTTGCGACAATTGAAAAATATGTCTTACAGAAAAACAGGTACGCGACATTAAAAAAATAAACATCATAAAACACATTTGTGTAATTAAAACAACCATATGTTGCATTTTAAAAATGTTCAGGCATTCGAAAAACTATTGATGACATTTTTAAAAATGTTTATACAATGTGAAAAATTGTTAGCGTTGTTTAAAAAAATGTGTCGTACAATCCAAAAAAGTTTATCCACTTATTTGAATAAAGTTTCAAAAACTTGTATTTGAGAACATGTTAATCGTATGTTTAAAAATTATTAAATGTGCTAGAAATTTAGTATTTTTAAAAAAATTGTACGTATAATTAACATTGTTCCAAATATGAGTTTTGAAACTTTTTTGAAATACGTGTTAGACATTTTCGGATGGTACAGAACATTTTTAAGCTACCTGAAATTTTTTGTACATTGCGTAAACATTTAAAAAATATCATTAACAATATTTCAAAATGCCTGAACATTTTTAAAATGCAACATATGTTTTTTTTAATTACACAAATGTGTTTTACAATGTTTATTTTTTTCAGAATCACATACTTATTTTTTGTAACACAGAAACATTTTTGGCGCTTATAATACATAAATAAAAAACAAATTTAAATTAATCATTTTTAAAATAAAAACAATTTAAAAGATAAAAAACAGATAATATATATGCCTACGGCAAGGCCGTCGGCATAGTATTGCCATGTGGCAGTTCCAAAAAAAACCCAGATAAAACATATGCCGACGGCCGCCGTGAGGGCCGTCGGCATATATTTGACAGTGTTAGGCTGCCGTCTGAGGCCGGGCCACCAGGGCCACCTATATGCCGACGGCCACACTTTACCGACGGCTGCTGTCGGCATAGTCAGAGATATGCCGACGGCGTTTCTATGCCTACGGCTGCCGTCGGCATAGTCTGAGGTATGCCGACGGCCTTTCTACGCCTACGGCTTTCCCTAGGCCGCCGGCATAGCTCCGTCTATGCCGACGGCCCCGACAAAAGGCCGTCGGCATAGAGTAGGCCGTCGGGGTAGCCAATTATTCCGGTAGTGGTATAGCCCTTTTCGGTTTATCTCCATTGTATAAGGGGTCTCTTGTACTTTACCTTACACATGTATATGTATTGGTCTTTGGCCCTCCTGTGAATGCAGTTGCCCATTATCCAACACTGCTGAATTACTGCACAAAAGCATCTTCAGAGTATATCAATAGAAGCATCTCCAGGAAGGGTGCCCAAGTTACTGCACAAAAGCTAAAGAGAACAAATAAATAAATAAATAAAGAAGAGGGCACAGGCATTGTGCAGATGAGAATCCAATGTCCAGACTGGATCGTGCAGAACTGTTGGATATACCAGATCCACTGTCATCTATATTAAGCGCCGTGATGGTTTGACAACAGATAGGGAATCTGCTGGACTATAACAATTAAAAAATGATCCCAACTAGCTAGCTAGCAACTGAAAGTCTGCACAAGAAACCTTAATGGCAGGTGTACCTTTTTGGAATTTAAACAGGGCTGATGATTCTTTCATGTTCTCTAGACACCGTTGAAAGTTTCAGTATATTGACTTGTAACTGTACCTGTGTCGGCGCGTTTTGCAGCTTCCGCTGCAACTAACATGGTATCATGAGAGAAAGAGATAGGGCGACTCAATCAGTCCGTCTTCTTTCTAATAAGATGCATGAACCAGCTCTACTACATTCTGTACTTGTTGCTAGTAACTTCAAATCTGCTTTTCGTTGAAAACAAACCAGTGTTAAACTCTGACAGGAACAGCAAGAAACTACAGGTTTTTCTTTTCATACAAAGCGAACAATTTCTCCGGGTTACAAGTTGGAACTTTGCAAGTTACAAGTTACAAGTTGCCAGGAACTTGAAAGGGAAATAAGAAAACACATGCAGATGATATACCTGCTGCAAGTTGCCAATAAAAGGCAAAACTATATCCAGAATGAAAATAGACAAAAAGGACTAGAGTAATATATAGAGGTCGTGGTGTGCGTCATTTAGCGCACACGATTTTTGCTGCGAATAAAAATGTGTTGAGGTTCAGAAGGAGACCAAACATGCCAGCACGGGTGAGCAGTGCAGAGATCACGGCCGCTAGCCATTTCTGCACAGGTGAGCTGATCTACGCGGCATCAGACGTGCGTCAAGATGCGTGCGGCGGTGAAGGGGCATTCGCTGGGGTTGGCCTCACAGGGAACGTCAGCCAGATAACATTTCCGTTATTAATAAGTTGTAAGTAACAAGCTTCAGCAAAAAAATATTAATAGTTACTCCCTCCGTCCGAAAATACTTGTCATCAAAATGGACAAAAAAGGATGTATCTAGAACTAAAATACATCTAGATACATCCCCTTTTATTCGTTTTGATGACAAGTATTTTCGGACGGAGGGAGTACAAGACAAAATGCCACAACCGATAAAAATAGGAGAAAATGCCTACAAATATCCTAGTGTTGAACCGTCATCTAAATTGGTACTCTCTCTGTCTGAAAAAGCTTGTCCGAAACTTGTTTCTTAAATGAATGATTCATATGAGGAACAAACTTTTTTAAACGAAGGGAGTAGTACGTAGCCGGTGCTATAGGACATGCATTGCTACCAAGCAATTTGGAGGCTTTATTTTGTTGTTGTTCTTGAACACAGCAATATAATTTGGAGGTTAGTGCACATGATGGACAGTTGGCTGAACCCGCTTGCATGCCTGTGATAGTAGTGGTGTCTGCTGTCGAGGACCACGTCCATGACCCGCCAAATTGACGGCCTGGTTCTGGTTGGCCGAAGAATTTTCAGTGTGGATGCTGCACGGCTGTTTCTGTGAAATTCTCCAAGTCAGGTTTACATACCATAATTCTCCAGATGAACACGGAGCGATGACCCAACCAAAAATTCACAATGAGCGCAACCTCTGAGCTGAGCATCAGAAACGATGGCCACCTCATTGACATCGCTCCAAGTCCAACCACTGGCATCAATCAGAGCGGCCGCGGAGGCGAGATCCACACGGAATGGCTGCGGGAGCTGACCTCGGCGTCACGGAGCGCCGCCGTCCTGAACGACCTCGTCGGCCGAACGCCGATGCTGTGGTACCTCGGCGAGCGCGCGGCCACCATCCTCCGGCCGCGCTCCCGGCGCGCCGACCTGAAGGCGCTACACGCGGTGCGCGCGGTGGCCATCGGCCCGTACCACCGCGGCGACCGTGGCCTCGCCTTCGACGACGAGGCCAAGCTGCCGTTCCTGCGGTACCTGCAGGACCAGTGCGGGCTCGACGTCGAGCAGTACGTCGCGGCGCTCGGGGCGGCGCGCGGCTGCTTCCGCGACGAGTTCGCGGACGACGCGGACGCGGTCGCCGCGGATTGGCTCCGGGACGAGGAGAAGTTCGTGAAGATGCTCCTCCTCGACAGCAGCTTCCTCCTCGTCTTCAGCCTCATGTTCGGCAAGGCCGGCGGTTGGGGGGAACGGGCGGCGGCGCTCGTGGTCACCAGGGAGCGATTCGTACTGTACACGGCCGTGGCGCAGTACGCCGACGAGATCAAGCTCGATCTGCTCGTGCTGGAGAACCAGATCCCCTTCGCTGTCGTCAAGCTGCTCGCCGCCTCTTGCCGCGGCCTGAAGCTCCGCTCCGTCGAGGAGCTGATGCTCGGCTGCTTCGACTGCATCTGCCCGACCAGGGCGCGCGGCAAGGTCGACTTGTTGCTCCGGGAGACGACGGACGCGAAATTCTATCACATCCTACACCTCTTCCACTGGTCGCGCGTCCCGGAGAACAAGTACGGCGTCCTCTCGGTGCCACTGAAGCTTCTCGAGGCCAAGGAGGAATCGGATCAGTCGGGGTGGATCATGCCTTGCGCCAGAGAGCTGCATCGGGCGGCGGTGTGGTTCCGGAAGCCCTCTCTGGACGGGGCGGAGAGGCACGGCGGGGACCTCAACATGGAGTTCCGGAGCGCGGCGGCGAGCCCGATGGCGGTGATGACCATCCCCAGCTTCCACATCCTCGCCTACACCGCGGCGCTGCTCCATTCCATGCTGGCCTTCGAGAAGCACTTCCACTGGGCGCACGGCGCCTGCGTGACGGTGCACGTCAAGCGCATGGAGGGCCTGATACGGTGCCCGCAGGACGCGGCGCTGCTTCGCCGCCGGTGGATCCTCGGCAGCGTAAAGTGCACGGACGAGGAGGTGGTGGATTTCTTCCGTGACATGGTCTTGGAGGCGGCTGGGGTGCCCATGCCCGAAGAGTACGGCGAGATGATCCGCGCGGTGGCGCGGCACAGGAGGAGGCGGGCGCGCAGATGGTGTGGGGACTTGATACTGCACTTCCTCCCGTCTCCCTGGGTATCCGTCTCGCTCGCCGCCGTGGTTGCGCTCATCATTGTGCCGGCCATGTTGCAGACAATCTACACCATTTTGGGCTACCAAAAGTAGACGATTTCGAGAACCAGCATATAGGAGGATGATTGCTTGGGGCGACGGCCAGCATGGCGGTGGGGGAGGGCGGGGCCGGCGGTAGCTGCTGGCTGCGGGGGATGGAGGCAGGCGGTTGCCCTGGGTCAGCCGGTGGCTGCGTGAGGAAGAAGATGAACACGGCGGGGCGAGCTTGATGAGGAAGATGAATCCGGAGCCGTTGGATGTTTTATGATGTACTCTCTCCGTTTTTTTAGTCCGCATCTAAGATTTGGTCAAAGTCTAACTTCAGACTCTGTAAAGTTTGACTAACTTTATGAAAAAAAATATAACATCTCCAATACTAAAGTTATATGTTATGAAAATTAATTTCATCATGTATCTAATATTATTGATTTCATAGTATGGATGTTGACATTTTTTCCTATAAAGCTAGCCAAAATTTACAAAGTTTGACTTTAACCAAATTTTATACGCAAACTAAAAAAAAAGAGGGAGTACTACTAATTGAAAGGTATTTTTTCAGGTAATATACATGACAAATAGCCACTCCAAAAAAGAAAGAGAGTTAGTGATCTCAATGTATATAGAAAGTAGATGATCCCAAATTGCATCACCATTTGTAAACTCACTCCGCGTCACCTCCCGATAGGGCGACTCGGGCGGCACCCAAAAACCTAGCTGCTGCCAGCCCGCACTCCCTCCTCCTCTCCCTCCTCTCGGGGGCCCACGACAGTGGCGGAGGACATCACCTCTCTCCCGTGTCTCTGGGGTTGTGCGCAGTCCCAATTCGTATGGAGACACACCCGATCCGATCTGTGGCGCAGCGGCAAGTCCTGTCCGGGCGGCAGCGCGCCATCTGCCTTTGGATCGTCGACGACAGCGTGGAGGGCCTGGTGGTAGCGTCGGCGGCACCTCGAGTCAATCTGTTCTGCCTGGTGCAGCCGGCGGTGGTGGCCATCTCTTCCGCCAGAGATGGTCGGCCCGTGGCTGGGTGGTCGGATCTCGAGATTCGTCATCCAGTCCCGGCTACGAGTCGGGGAGACATAGTTGCCGGTGAAAACCGAGCCGTTGGCGGGCGATGGCGGCGTTTTGCGCCGTTACCTTGATGAAGGCACCGTCGTGTAACTGTTGTCGACGCACCCGTGCTGCTTCGGGGGAAACATAGGATCTGGTTTTTCAGATCGGACAATGGCGGTACTACTGTGCCATTTCTCTCTTGGGAGAATCGTTTGTGGAGCAGCGCTGGAAGACAGAGGCATGAGGTGGACCCGCTTCCTCTGCACGGAGCTTCGGTGGAGCTATCAAGTCATGCCTGGCCGACAGGTGCTACGCACGACAGATCTTCCAGAGTCTTCGCGTTTAGACGGACGAGTGCAGGGCAGTGGCGCCTGTTAGAAATATGCCCTAGAGGCAATAATAAAATGGTTATTATTATATTTCCTTGTTCATGATAATTGTCTATTGTTCATGCTATAATTGTATTAATTGGAAACCGTAATACATGTGTGAATACATAGACCACAACATGTCCCTAGTGAGCCTCTAGTTGACTAGCTCGTTGATCAATAGATGGTTATAGTTTCCTGACCATGGACATTGGATGTCATTGATAACAGGATCACATCATTAGGAGAATGATGTGATGGACAAGACCCAATCCTAAGCATATCACACGATCGTGTAGTTCGTTTGCTAAAAGCTTTTCTAATGTCAAGTATCATTTCCTTAGACCATGAGATTGTGCAACTCCCGGATACCGTAGGAATGCTTTGGGTGTGCCAAACGTCACAACGTAACTGGGTGGCTATAAAGGTGCACTACGGGTATCTCCAAAAGTGTCTGTTGGGTTGGCACGAATCGAAACTGGGAATTGTCACTCCGTGTGACGGAGAGGTATCTCTGGGCCCACTCAGTAATGCATCATCATAATGAGCTCAATGTGACTAAGTAGTTAGTCACGGGATCATGCATTACGGAACGAGTAAAGTGACTTGCCGGTAACGAGATTGAACGAGGTATTGGGATACCGACGATCGAATCTCGGGCAAGTAACGTACCGATTGACAAAGAGAATTGTATACAGGATTGCTTGAATCCTTGACATCGTGGTTCATCCGATGAGATCATCGTGGAACATGTGGGAGCCAATATGGGTATCCAGATCCCGCTGTTGGTTATTGGCCAGAGAGTAGTCTCGGTCATGTCTGCATGATTCCCGAACCCGTAGGGTCTACAAACTTAAGGCTCGGTGACGCTAGAGTTGTTATGGGAATTAGTGTGCAGTTACCGAATGTTGTTCGGAGTCCCGGATGAGATCCTGGATGTCACGAGGAGTTCCGGAATGGTCCGGAGGTAAAGATTTATATATGAGAAGTCCTATTTTGGCCACCGGAAAATGTTTGGGATTTTTCGGTATTGTACCGGGAAGGTTCTAGAAGGTTCCGGAGTGAGGCCCACCTGCATGGGGGGACCCACATGAACGTGCGTAGTGGGGGCAAGGCCCCACACCCCTGGTCAAGGCGCACCAAGATCCCCCCTTAGAAGGAATAAGATCATATCCTGAAAGGATAAGATCAAGATCCCTAAAAAGGGGGGATAACAATCAGTGGGGAAGGAAATGATGGGATTTCTTTCCTCCCACCTTTGCCAACGCCCCAATGGACTTGGAGGGCAAGAAACCAGCCCCCTCAACCCCTATATATAATGGGGAGGCGCATGGGAGCTTCACCCTTGCCCCTGGCGCAGCCCTCCCCCTCTCAAACTCCACCTCCTCCTCAGTAGTGCTTGGCGAAGCCCTGCTAGAGAACTGCAAGCTCCACCACCACGCCGTCGTGCTGCCGGAGCTCTCCCTCAACTTCTCCTCTCCCCTTGCTGGATCAAGAAGGAGGAGACGTCCCCGGGCTGTACGTGTGTTGAACGCGGAGGCGCCGTCCGTTCGACGCTAGATCGGATCTTCCGCGATTTGAATCGCCGCGAGTACGACTCCATCAACCGCGTTCTTGTAATGCTTCCGCTTAGCAACCTTCAAGGGTATGAAGATGCACTCCCTCTCTCTCTTGTTGCTAGAATCTCCATAGATTGATCTTGGTGATGCGTAGAAAATTTTGAATTTCTGCTACGTTCCCCAACAGTGGCATCATGAGCTAGGTCTATTGTGTAGATTCTTTGCACGAGTAGAACACAAGTAGTTGTGGGCGTTGATTTGTTCAATATGCTTACCATTACTAGTCTTATCTTGATTTGGCGGCATCATGGGATGAAGCGGTCCGGACCGACCTTACACGTACGCTTACGTGAGACAGGTTCCACCGATTGACATGCACTTGTTGCATAAGGTGGCTAGCGGGTGCCAGTCTCTCCCACTTTAATCGGATCAGATTCGATGAAAAGGGTCCTTATGAAGGGTAAATAGCAATTGGCATATCACTGTTGTGGCTTTTGCGTAGGTAAGAAACGTTCTTCATAGAAACCCATAGCAGCCATGTAAAACATGCAACAACAATTAGAGGACGTCTAACTTGTTTTTGCAGGGTATGCTATGTGATGTGATATGGCCAAAAGAATGTGATGAATGATATATGTGATGTATGAGATTGATCATGTTCTTGTAATAGGAATCACGACTTGCATGCCGATGAGTATGACAACCGGCAGGAGCCATAGGAGTTGTCCTAATTTATTGTATGACCTGCGTGTCATTGAAAACGCCATGTAATTACTTTACTTTATTGCTAACTGTTAGCCATAGTAGTAGAAGTAATAGTTGGCAAGACAACTTCATGAAGACACGATGATGGAGATCAGGGTGTCATGCCGGTGACGAAGGTGATCATGCCGCGCCTCAAAGATGAAGATCAAAGGCGCGAGATGATATTAGCCATATCATGTCACTCTATGATTTGAATGTGATGTTTGTCATGTTTACATTTTATTTTCTTAGAACAACGGTAGCATAAATAAGATGATCCCTCATAAAATTTCAAGAAAGTGTTCCCCCTAACTGTGCACCGTTGTGAAGGTTCGTTGTTTCGAAGCACCACGTGATGATCGGGTGTGATAGATTCTAACGTTCGCATACAACGGGTGTAAGCCAGATTTACACATGCAAAACACTTAGGTTGACTTGACGAGTCTAGCATGTACAGACATGGCCTCGGAACACAAGAGACCGAAAGGTCGAACATGAGTCGTATAGCAGATACGATCAATATGAAGATGTTCACTGATGATGACTAGTCCGTCTCACGTGATGATCGGACACGGCCTAGTTGACTCGGATCATGTATCACTTAGATGACTAGAGGGATGTCTATCTAAGTGGGAGTTCATTAAATAATCAGATGAACTTAATTATCATGAACATAGTCAAATGGTCTTTGCAAATTATGTCGTAGCTTACGCTTTAGTTCTACTGCTTAAGATATGTTCCTAGAGAAAATTTAGTTGAAAGTTGACAGTACCAATTATGCGAACTGGGTCCGTATACTGAGGATTGTCCTCATTGCTGCACAGAAGGCTTATGTCCTTAATGCACCGCTCGATGTGCTGAACCTCGAGCATCGTTTGTGGATGTTGCGAACATCTGACATACACGTTTTGATGACTACGTGATAGTTCAGTGTGTAATGTAAAACGGTTTAGAATTGAGGCACCGAAGACAATTTTGAAATGTAGCAGAACGTATGAGATGTTCCAAGAGCTGAAATTGGGATTTCAGGCTCGTGCCCACCTCAAGAGGTATGAGACCTCCGACAAGTTTTTAACCTGCAAACTAAGGGAGAAAAGCTAAATCATTGAGCATGTGCTCAGATTGTCTGAGTACTACAATCACTTGAATCGAGTGGGAGTTAATCCTCCAGATGAGATAGTGATGGTTCTCCATAGTCACTGCCACCAAGCTATTAGAGCTTCGTGATGAACTATAACATATCAGGGATAAAATGATGATCCTTGAGAAATTCGCGATGTTTGACACCGTGAAAGTAGAAATCAAGAAGGAGCATCAATTGTTGATGGTT